AACATCGAGAGCTGCTTTCCAAAATTGACAAAATTTTGCAAATAAATGCATAAATCTTGACGTTATTGAGATGCAGGAGACTGTTCGTGTTTTAGAAAAGCAATGGTCCGCTGATGTAGCAGATCCCGATGATTTCGTTGCTGAATTTAGAATGTGGAAAAGGTTAAAAATCTTTTCTTCAGATTATATTTTCTAACTAAAGTTTTGAATATATTTTCAGGAATTGGTTAATCAAACACAGAGATCCAAAACTTTTTTAGACGCGTTGAATCGTTGCGATGCAAAAATTTTCAAAACAGTGCATCGTTTTTTAATGATTGGAGCAACAATCCCTATATCTGTCATTTCAAGTGAACGCTCGTTTACCTCACTTCGCAGGCTTACAACATATTTAAGAAATAAAACTGGAGAAGCACGCCTGAACGGAATGGCTCTCTTGAATATCCATAGAGATATAGACGTGACGGAGGAAGAGATTTTAAATGTTATGGCCCAAAATCAAAGAAGATTAGACTTCAATTTGTGAATAAAATAATGAAACATTGTCTTTTTACTTAAAACACCCTTAATTAAAATTTCGAATTGTGTTGGGTTTGTTTGTTTATTTTAGAATGTTCCCTGTTAAATACGTTTTTTCTTACAAATATGCCTTATAAACTTACATTTTTGTCCGTTGCGCTTGACAGTTTGATATCGAATCAAAAATTCGTAAAACGCACAGATTTGACAGTCGTTTACTCAATACAGAGTGCTGCCATTGCGAAGGAGTAAAAATAAATGCGCAAAACGCGACTTTCAATGCGCTTGTCGCCTTACAGAGTTGCTTTTTTTCATTAACGAGCGTTTTCACTTGCGCAACGCCTTACAGAGTAACCCCCCTGATACTTGTCTTCGACTCATCAGGTCACAAATCCCAAATTAGCCACGAACCTCCTCCGAGCTTCTGACCCATCCTTTACGTCCCAGGAAGTACGCGACATATTTACAGAGTTGTTTCTGCACTCTCTCCACTTGTCAATGAGACAGCCGGTATGAGGAGACCAAACCAATGAAAAATACTCTGAAATCGGACGCACCAAGGTCGAGTACAGCCTTACAAACGTATCAGTATTCCTGAAGTCATTACCACATCTGAATATGAACCCAAGTGTCCTGTATGCCTGTGATGTAATTTTGTCAATGTGCCCGGCGAAATTTAGTGCATTGTCAATCATGACACTAAGATCTTTTACTACTGTGACTTCTTCTAGCTGATGATCAGCGATACGACGACGACGACTGAAAGACCGTGACAAGAACATCACCACGCACTTTTTTAAATTTAAACTCAATTTATTTTCGTCGCACCACTCCTCAAGTCTATCAAGGTCTTGCTGTAATGCACTAATATCATCGACAGTGCTTATCTTCTTGAAAATCTTGAGGTCAGCAGCATATAGTAAAAATTCCGACGATATTTTGTCCCCAATGTCGTTGACAAATATGCTAAACAACACTGGCCCAGGATGGGAACCCTGTTGGACACCGGACAACACTTTAAACTCGGACGACACATAGACATTGACTCGCACCTGCAGGAATCTCCCAGTCAAGTACGAGTTAAACCAATTAAATACATATCCCGCCACTCCGTAGCGATCCATCTTCGCTATTAAGAGCTCATGATCCACCATGTCGCAGGCTTTGCTGAAGTCCGTGTAGATAGTGTGAACTGTTTCACCCTTGTCCGACGCTCTCAGCACGTAATCGACATACAGGTAAAGGCTTGTAGCCGTAGACCTGCCGCCAAAGAACCCGTGTTGCTTGGTCGAGATCGTATTCTTGAAGGCGAAATTCACCTGCTGCAAAACAAGTTTCTCAAACAACTTTGGCATTGCCGGCTGTATGCATATTGGCCTGTAGTTGGATACCTCAGATGTCGACCCTGCCCATCTCCAGTGATTTACTAAAAATGTGGGTTATTGGTTCGGCAAGTCTGACTGCACAGCTCTTCAGTAATATGTTCGGTATTCCATCTGGTCCGGCTCCCTTCTTTCCATCTAGTTTGCACATTTCCTCAAACACTTCATTGAAGCGGATGGTGAGTTAAGATACTTTCACATCGTAGCTAGTCGATGTTTCCACAGCTTGAGCTGTGGGCATTGGTCCCCCATTATCATAAACTTTCTCCGCATAGATGCTGCCAAAGAACGACGCAAACAGATTGCTCACTTCCCCACCCGTCGTAGCTACACTGTCTTTCCACGATACGGAGGATGGAATATCTATATTGTTCCGTCTCCTGCTTTTGATGAATTTCCAAAACTGACTCGAATACACCCGTACAAGCTCCTCCTAGGCGCTGTAACATCCTTTGCCGATTCTTTTGCATTCCCACCGCAACCGACGAAAAACATTTTAAGCGTAACTGGTTTTTAATCTCTTGTATGTTGCATGCGCATCCTTTTTCTGCTGTATTTTCCCTAACAGCTCCCTAGAGAACCAGCATGGATAATTGCTTTTCCTGTTTGTATGGACAGGAACAAATTGCACAATTCCATCGTTAATTCTCTCGTATAGCAAGTTTATCTTGTCATCCAGTGATACTAACTTATACAGTTCAATCCAGTTACTCCTCAAAAAGAAATAATTCAATCCCACGTAGTCCGCCTTCTTGAATGTATAAGTCGGCGCCACGCTCACTTTTAGGTTGGCCTTAATCTCAGCACGTATACATATAGCCGGGTGGTGCTTATCTTCATCAATAATAGCCTCGGTACTGTCCACACATACTTCAACGCTGCTGAAGCATAAGTCAAGCGTACGATCATTTACATTACGAATTACATCATACTGTTGACAGTTAGCCACACTCATCTCACTGTATACAATATTTGCACATTCGTCTTGAGGACAGCTACTGGTTAGATTATAGTCGCCAACGATAATCACTGCACAGTTGGGATATTTCTCCTTCAAATACGAAATTGTCTACAAATGACTCGCATACTTATCCAACGACGACAGTGGTGGAAGATACACACAGCCAACTAATAGATCTCCCTCAGTAAATTTTACTTTAATAAAAACTTGCTCGACACTACTACAGTTAGTTGGCAGTAGCTTAGCATTAATACTACGCTTCACCGCAATGAAAACACCTCCACCTCTCGTGCAATTGCTTGTTTGATTGTTTCTATCTTTCCTAAATATTAAATACGTATCGTCTACCAATTCACTATCTGATACTGATTCATGAAGCCATGACTCGCTAACACAAATGAAGTCACATTGATGTCCTGCTGATGAGATGAGGAACTCTTTTAATTTTGTTCTTAATCCTCGAGTATTTTAGTATATATGTAACTTACGAATCTTTAGGAAAAATCTGCTTATCGACTATCCTCGGCACCCCATTAATGTATCTAACTGCCTTGCTGTTATCTCCGCTCTCAGTTAGATTATCAAGCTTCGTACGTAGATTCCTGAGATGCTCTTGTTGTGCTCTTGTTAGGTTCCCCTTAAATGAAATGCCAGACTCATCAGCTGTCTTGATATGCAATAGACTCCTAGCATCTGCTGCAGACTCTGTAGTTAGTAATAGCGGACGAATCTTACCTACCACAGGACGACCGAGTCTACGGAGACCGAGTTTCGGACCAACCTCTGACATCTCCTGTGGTAATGAAGCGACAACCTTCTCTAAATCATCCAGACGTCGATCATAGCCTACCGGCTTCTCAGACTCCGGCACGTTGAAAGCAATAATCTCTCGTTCTCGCTTATTGCGATCATTTATCTCCGATATTATAATGTTGGGATCCACATTAAGTGCATCGAAGGATGTTAATTTATTCTCGACAGCGCCGACTCTCTTTTCTAATTGCTTAAAATGCTGCGAGATTGCTCTGTTGTTCTCTGCCAACTTGTTCAAGTCAGGCCGAATCCCTGCGACGCTGGTCTGAATATTTTCAATTGTTTTCTTGAACGGTGCTAGATATTTCTCAAACATTTTCTCCAACTCCGATTTGGTTGTTGATAACGGCAAATTATTGTCGTCCGCATCACTGTCATTGACGGCCTCAATAATACTAACCTCTGAGTGACAACCAGAGCATCGAGAGTCAATACGGCCAGTTTTCCGAAACGCAGCAGCAATTTTCTTGAAACCATCATCACTCAAGTCGCTGAATTTCTAGTGGAACCAATTTTTACAACTATTGCAGCTAATACTTCCTGAGTTTCCTCTTATAATCTTGGAGCAAGTTATACACTAGGATGGGTCGATGCCGAACTTTTTTCGATTCGGGATTTCTAATAGTGCGGAAAAGTTGCCTTAGTACTTCCTGATTCCAATGCAACTTTTTGTTTTGAGATCGGATTGCATCTTCAACCGAAACTCCGGCCTTGAAATTTCGGAAATTCGACTAAAATCGTGAAATTGTCTACCTAGCGCCTGAAATACGCATCTCATGGCAAAATGTATAAAACAAAAGTTATTTGTCACGTCATTTGCTACCGAAAATGCGGCCCGCCACAGCGCAAGGTGAAAATCGATTTGCGGCCACACTTCTTGACGTTGATTTCGCCGAGTGCTATCACCCACATTCATTCACCTACGCCAAAGAACACGTCATTATTTTGTTTTTTCAGTATTTTTTGACTTCTCTTATGTTTTGTGTTTTTAACTCTTCGAATATGTCTGCTTCGTTTATTCCACGCAAATCGTTGCAGTAAATTACTCCTTTGCTTATATTTAGTGGTTTGTGGAATGAGACACTAACTGAGATATTGTTATGCATTGAGGTAAGTTTAAGTAGTTTGTTTGCTTGAGTCGTATTTTTTGTTTTTACAAACAATGTGCCGGCGCGTGTCTTTTTGCAGCTTTCTACTTCACCATCACATGTGTAGTCTATAATTTTTTAATGATAAATGGAGATATTCCATTGAAAGATTCATTGTCCGTTCTAGTTATGATTAGGAATTTGGATTCATTTAAATTGGGAGGGTTTCTCCTCCAAATGTCAGGTGGGTCAAGCATATTGTATGTCAACCAATGGTCATTTGTGTAGTTTTACATGTATTTTGTTATTTTATTTTCTTTTCCCTCTTGGTTGAGCGTTTGTTTAACACTGCGATTGCTTGTCACTTGATAGTTAGCGAAAACCAGTTTTTGTATGTAGCGATGTAGGGCAGACTGCAATTAGCATACACGTCTGTCTACCTTGAGATTCGCGCTAGTACTGAAAATATTGTCTCAAATTAGTCACCTGATAGAAAGCAGGTCACAAAACTTAAATAAATTCTTATTTTCCATTTTGAATATACTAACACTTCTCTTCTAGAGATAATCATAGATATTAAACAGCTCTCAGTTATTATATTTTCTAAGCAACTAAAACACGTAAAAGTTAAAAAAAAAAGTCTAAATAAATTTCGTTACTATTGTGATTCAAAGTTCAAATTTAATTTTTATTTTTACTGGTATATACGGATAACGCTTTTGGACTGCGTTATATTTGTTATCGACATGTTTATTTTCATTCCGGTTTTATATAAATAATTGATACAGTGTTTATATGATTTACAATATTATCAAGATATCTTAACACTTTCTACACGGCACATTTTGTCTATGTTTCTATGCAGTTGTTTTAGGAAGAACTATAAATAACAATACATTTATTTATTTATACGGAGTTGGAGTTGAAGATGCAATCCGATCTCAAAACAAAAAGTTGCATTGGAATCAGGGAGTACTAAGGCAACTTTTCCGCACTATTAGAAATCCCGAATCGAATAAAGTCCGGAATCGACCCACCCAATTATACACGTGTTTACTCGACGCCATTGTTGCCACATCAAATTACCAATTTTGAACGTATGTTGTGCTCAGAGAACGTCTATCATAGAGAAGGTTCACGTTTCAAATATCGTAACTTTTCGAAGGGGTACTCGGCAGAGATGGTCCAGTTTCACCACAGACAAATTATAAGCGTGTTTCACCACGAAAATAGCAGAATTGAGCATTTTCAGTGTTAAATGAGAAAAATAATGCTAATTCCAATGTTAACAAATTTACGC